TGCCTTCTTGATGACCTCTTGGTCTCTAAATAAGGTTCCAGTTACAGATAGGTAGCCGTGTTGGTCTGCCATAGTCAAAATAAAAAATTCCTTCCAGTAGCACCTTAAAGACCAACTAAGTTAGTTCTTGGTATGAGCTTTCGTGTGCATGCACACTTCTTCAGATACCATCTGAAAAACTCATACCAAGAACTAACTTAGTTGGTCTTTAAGGTGCTACTGGAAGGAATTTTTTATTCTAAATAAGGTGTCATTCATCCTCCATCTGAAGGAACCAGTCAATGTTATTCTCATATCCATTTTTACTGCATTATGGTCGGAGCAAATTTCCACATTTTTGACTTTGGGTGCCCGGCCCCTAGTTATCCAGATTTGGTCGATTCTTGTCCATGTCCTTTGGGCTTCAGAAAATAAGGTTCCCTCTCTCCCCATGGGGTTCTTTGTTCTCCAAATATCAGTCAAGTCCATGTTATCCGTCATCTCAAAAAAGGTTTTTGGTAGTCTGCCATCGTTGGTTATTACCTGTCTTAATGACTTATCCATGTTTGTAGATACCACTCCATTCATATCTCCCATCAAGATCATATTATAGTCCATATAGTCCAACAAAGTCTCATGCAATTTTTTAACAAATTCAGATTTCCCCTCATTTGGTGCATAAACTCCTATTACCAAAAAATTTTCTCCTTGTAATCGAATCTCAATTGCCACATACCTTCCTTGTTCATCTTTAAAAATAAATTTCGGTGATAGGCTCTCTTTTGCATAAATGACCACTCCTCTTTTTTTAACTTTGTCCTTTGAAATAAACTCTTGGCCCAGTCTTTTGTCAATCAAAATTTTCCTATGGAGCCTTATCACATGTGTTTCCTGTAGGCAAATCAAGTCCAATTGTTCCTTTTTTAAAATATGAAAGACTTTTCTCCTTTTTTCCGGGGAATTCAAACCACGAATGTTCCAGCTTAATATTTGCAGAGACATAGTGTACTTATTTTACTTTCCTCCTGCTGCTCCCAGTTGATGTTCTTGGTCCAGTGGTGGTATCTCTTTCAATTTGTCCAATCCCGTGGGTGGTGGTAAAATACCTTGTACGCCACATTTCAGGGCTCTCAGTTCTTCTGAAAATTCTTTTTGAAGGTCTTCTTCGTGCTCACTCAGGAATTTTTCCTTGTCTTCCACTGATCTTATCTTATATTTTCTTCCTTTGTAGGTAAAAGATAGGCCTTGAGGGAATTCCCACCTGAAAATTGTATTACTTCCTCTCAAGAGGGCCACTAAGTCTCCATAGTTAGACCTGAGATCTAGAAGAAATTTGGGGATATCCTTGAAAATCTCAATTCTTATACCGTTTATTTGCAAAGAAGTTTGGAAGTGCAAACTCAAAATTCTGTCTCTCTCCTCTTTCGATCAGAGGGTGATCAAACAGTCTCTCACCCTGTTCTTTCTCCCTCCCCATCCTAGTTGGAAGGCATTTGAATAGGGGCCGAGTCCAGATCCCACCCGAGCCGGTGAACTAACATTGCAAAACGTGACCAGTAGCTTCTGACGGACTGGCCCCTCTGCTTGCACCCCATCAGCTCTCGTCTTGTCACGCTTATCTCAATTTGATTAGAAAACATTGCGTCCATCGCTTGATAAAATTTCTTAAGGTCCTTCAAGGCATCATTCTGGGTTGCCATTAGAAGCCTGACCCATTCCCTCGCCTCATCCTGCAGATGCCCCACAATGTAGGCCACCCTCTCCCCATCATCGGCAAAATCATTCTTCTGCAATTCCAGAGCATAATCAATTTCTGTTCGGAAAGCATTGTAGCCTTGGGGCTTCACCCCAAACTTGTGTACTAGTCACTGTACCTTTCTTGCGATGGGGGTACCTCTGACCTGAGCATCCTGAGCCCGTCTCTCCTCCAGCCGTGCACTCAGGGTAGCAACATGTGCCTCCAGATCTCGGTTCCTCTCGACCAGACCTCACATCATGGCTTGTTGCTCCATTTCTCCGGCTGTCCCCGTTTGGCTCATGCTGCTTTTCCTGGGCTGCACACAAGCAACTTCAGGGACTGACGGATTGCTGTAATGGTTCTAGGGGTTGCTCATACGTAAATTGGTGCCAATTCTTGGCTTGCTCCTCTGGTTGAACCCTTTCTGTGCGGACAGTCACTCACCCGTGACTGTCTCAATCGCTGGCAGAATCCGTCAGTGGGCGTCTCTTGAACTTCTTCCAACATAAAAATTCCTTGACAGCAAGTCTCCGCCTTTGTTCCCTGCGCGGAAGCCTTCTGTGCAAGAAGGGTGTGGGCGGTGGGGGACCCTCACTCCCCCTGCTGGTTCCCGGCAAGGACTCATGGGAATGCCTTGTCGATTCCCCCTTCTGCCCCCCTTCTCCACTGGTGCTATGCTCCCTCCCTTCTCCAGAAGAAGGGCTGCTTCTTCCCCTCCCGGGACTCTCTTCAGAATCCCTCTGGAGCTCTCTCTCTCTTTCCATCCCTGATGGCAGTTCCCTGACACTATCATATCACCCCTTAACCTCCTCTTCTCCAGGCTAAACATGCCCAGCTCCCTTAGCCGTTCCTCATAAGGCATCGTTTCCAGGCCTTTGACCATTTTGGTTACCCTCCTGTGGACATGTTCCAGTTTGTCAATGTCCTTCTTGAACTGTGGTGCCCAGAACTGGACACAGTAATCCAGGTGAGGTCTGACCAGAGCAGAATACAGTGGCACTATTACTTCCCTTGATCTAGATGCTATACTCCTATTGATGCAGCCCAGAATTTGTGCCTCATCTTGTATTTGTGCCTCCCATTTTTTTTGCCCAAGTGCAATACTTTACATTAATCCCTGTTAAAGTTCATCTTGTTTGTTTCGGCCCAGTTCTCTAATCTGTCAAGGTCGTTTTGAAGTGTGATCCTGTCCTCTGGGGTGTTAGCCACCCCTCCCAGTTTGGTGTCATCTGCAAATTTGATCAGGATGCCCTTGAGTCCATCATCCAAGTCGTTCTTAAGGAAATTAGCCCTGGGTCCTCACTGGAAGGACAGATCTTGAAAAGATTATTTTAAAAAATAAATCAATTTGTGGCTGGCCTGATCAAGCGTTGCTTCCTCTGGTTAGCCCCACTGGAACTCCAGTTCTTTCCAGACCCTGGGGTCACTAGAGGACTGGTGGCTCCTCCTGGCAAATGGCCTGGTGCGCGCTGGATCACCGGTCCTTCTTTGCCCCCCCCTTGAATCTGGGCAACCGAAGGTCCCATCTGGGGTGCCATCTGTTGTAAACAAAAGCTGCCCTTCTTCCCTTATGGGGGACACAAGAGTATTGCTTCTCAGTATTCTCTGGTGTGCTCCCCTCACACAGAAAAGGAGGAGGACCCAGAACAAAGGTGTGCCTGTCTTTATATAGACATTTTAAATTCCCTGCCCTGGAGCTCAAGACCACCCCTCCATACACCATACATACATCACAGAAGGGGCGTAACCCAAGACCACCCCCCACATACATCATACCTACATCACAGAAAAGGCGGTCTACAACAGAAATTTGAATGTTGTCATTTTTCCTGTCTGCCAGGTTATCTGATAATGGCTTATCTGATTCCCTTTCCTGGTAGTCTGGTCATACCTTTGAGATGGTGATTTCCCAATTCCTGAGACAATGGGAAGGTTCCCTCAACCCCTCCCTCCTTGCAGAGAAAACGTTTGGTCAGTTTGGGAGTCTAAATGGTTTCAGGACGGTCTTCCTGTGCTGCTCCAGACATGGGGTCTACATATCTATGTATGTGCTTGCTTGGTACATTTATGAACATTTATTATATATATAAGACCTTAATTTTTTTATTACACGATTCATCCAGTCCAGCCTTTCGCACGATGAATTCTGCATTTACGTTAAATAAGCAGGGAGACAATATACAGCCTTGTCAAACTCCTTTCCCAATTTTGAACCAATCAATTGTTCCATATCCAGTTCTAACTGTAGCTTCTTGTCCCACATAGAGATTTCTCAGGAGACAGATGAGGTGATCAGGCACTCCCATTTCTTTAAGAACTTGCCATAGTTTGCTGTGGTCGACACAGTCAAAGGCTTTTGCATAGTCAATGAAGCAGAAGTAGATGTCTTTCTGGAACTCTCTAGCTTTCTCCATAATCCAGCGCATGTTTGCAATTTGGTCTCTGGTTCCTCTGCCTCTTCTAAATCCAGCTTGCACTTCTGGGAGTTCTCGATCCACATACTGCTTAAGCCTGCCTTGTAGCATTTTAAGCATAACCTTGCTAGCCTGTGAAATGAGTGCAATTGTGCGGTAGGTGGACCATTCTTTGGCACTGCCCTTCTTTGGGATTGGGATTCATGTGTTGCAGGAACACCCCCCCCCCCAATCATTCAATTTGTACAAAAACGACGACACACACATTAGACATAGGCAACACTTCTGTTATAAATTCATAGAAAATCAGCCATACATCGGATCTGCACAGTTCCACTTTTATTTTACACCATGAGGGAAGGACTATAAAAGGGGGGAGACTTGACACAAGGCAGCCATACTCCCCCAAGCATACAAACACGTCCGCAACGTCCGCAGATTTCTCCCTTGACACATGGAATCCGCTTCTGGCTCCAATTCTATCGGCTGCTTTTCTGAGCCTCTTGGCTGTTGTGCCTGGACGGGGCCTGTGTCCACGATCCTTGTCCTGGCCTGAGTCAGAGTCTGGGGTGGGGAGCTGGGATTTGGGGGGAGTCGTTTAGCTGCCCCCCGTTCCTGGTTTGAACAGCACCAAGACCTAAAAGACGGAGGGATCTAAGCTCGTGGGGTGGGGGAGGGGAGGATGTTGCAATGCAAACCTTGTAGGAGGGACGGGACCCACTTGGCAGCTGGATTTCCGGGATCAGCCCCTCCCCCGCTCTCCAATCCACTAAAGGAAGGGGGGAACCTTCCTCTCCTCCCCCCCCCACTCAAACGTTCCCTCCCCTCCCTGCACATCCTCCTCTCACCCCGCCCTCACCATCCCAAATCCCTCCCCCAATACATTGCTCCTCCTCCTCCAATCCGGCTCTTCTGTTCCAGGACTGGGGGGTGTGAGCCCCCTCCCAAACTGCCTGCGTCTCCCAGAAGTGGAGCTTCCACTCCGGATTGCTGCTCTGCCCCGTAGCTCTAGGGGCGCGCACGTTCTCAAAGGGGAGGAGGGGCGGCAGGTAAATCCTCCCCACCCACGTGGATGTTGCAGGAAAGGAAAGGAGGATCGGGAGCGAGCACAAAGAGGTAAAGGGGTCGGAGGGAGGGGGAGAAAAGGACACAGAGACCCCCTCCAGCTCCCCAAAGCGCCTTCTGTGGGGCCTGGATCCCGGCACGCCTGCAGCGAAGGGGGCTTTCCTTGGCAGGGGAGGACGTGGGGCGCCCACCCACGGGGTCCCAGGAGGACTCCCCGGCCCCGTTTCCCCCTCGCAGGCATCCCTGGGGCGCGGAGAAGCAAGCCAGGAAAGGGTTAATGGGTGCGGGAGACGCCTGGATAGAGACCCCCCTGTCCCTCCCCATCTCATCTTGGGGACCCCTCCGGAGGGAGAGATGGGTCGCGTATGGCGAAGGGTGAGCAGCGCCAAGGGGGCCTCTGGGTGCAGGGGAGACTCCGGGAGAGAGGGAGGGGGCCAAGGGTGGGGGAGGAGGGAGGGGAGCATCCCTGGGGAAGGAAGCGCAGCATTGGCGGGGTGGGTGGGGAGATAGGAAGACCAGTCTTTGGGGAGACGTCTCCATCGAGGGGCTGCCTTGGCTTCTCCCTCCCGCCCAGGAATCGGCCACCCCTTCAAGGCGACCAGGGAGGGATCCCTGGAAAGTGGGGGGGGGGTCCAGTTCCCCCACTCCTTCCTTCCTGCAATCTCCATCCTCCTTCCACCCCATAATCCTCTGCCCTGTCCAGACACAGCGATTCTGCCCAGTCCAACCACTGGTCCCCTGGAGAGGAGAGGAAATCCCCAGAGGAAGAGGGGAGGGGAGAGGCCTTCTCAGAAGCGGCTCTTGGTTTCCGCAATCCCACCCAGGAAGCTGCCAGAAACCTTTTCCTCTCTCTCAGGCTTCCATCTTTAAGTGTCTTTTCCACTGAGGATGAGGATAATGTACACCTGTCATCAGAAACAGGGGTGCAGAGTTCATGGAATGGCTCTCAGGGCTGATATAGAAGTTGCACCTCAAAAGCATTTCTGTTCCTCTTATTCTTTTTAGGTAGTGTCAGAGTGACTGACAAGCTGAGATACAATCCTTCATCATCCGATGACAGCAACTGCATGAATCTTCCCAGTCAAAGGAGCCATTTTCATGATAGACAGTGCCTGGGGCTGGAGGCTCTACACACCGGGTGTGACTGTGCAGGCCAAAGACTGTCAGTATTAGCACAGGTGATGTCTGTGACCTTCCCAAATTTACAGACTGTATGTGAATGAGAGTTTGTGGGTGGGATTATCGTTTACGGCAACCCTGTGATTTTCTCTACCCATAATATTTCATGAGCTGATATTGCAGTACAAATTCCAAAATAACTAGAAAAAATCACAATGTAATAAGAATGATTGTAGTATTTACATCCTGTCCATCTGGTTTGGTTTCCCCCGCCACTCTGGGCAGCTTCCAGTACAGTGGTACCTCAGATTAAGTACTTAATTCGTTCCGGAGGTCCGTACTTAACCTGAAACTGTTCTTAACCTGAAGCACCGCTTTAGCTAATGGGGCCTCCTGCTGCTGCCGCAGCGCCAGAGCCCGATTTCTATTCTCATCCTGAAGCAAAGTTCTTAACCTGAAGCGCTATTTCTGGTTTAGCGAAGTCTGTAACCTGAAGTGTATGTAATCTGAGGTACCACTGTACACATAAAAGACAGTAAAACATCAAACATTAAAAACCTCCCCATACAGGTCTACCTTCTGCTGTCTTCTAAATGTCAGATAGTTGTTCATTTCCTTGACCTCTGAAGGGAGGGCGTTCCACAGGGCGGGCGCCACCTCCAAGAAGGCCTTCTGCCTGCTTCCCTGTACCCTCACTTATCACAGAGAGGGGACCAGCAGGAGGACCTCAGTGTTCAGAGTGAAGGATGGGGGTGGAGACGCTCCTTCAGGTCTACAGGGCCAAGGCGGTTGAGGGCTTTAGGTTGCAGATGTTGCTCCTCCATAATGATCTCCAAGACTGACATATAGTTAGCAGAGTAGAAAAAAACACTCAGAGGCAGCAAAAAATCCATTCAGCAGATAAATTTAGTACTGAAGGCAAAGAATCATAACAACCCAATAACTGAATTTACAGTAAAACCCTAACACAGCATAGCAAAACAGCACTCAAGTAAGAAAGACACAAGAAGAGTAGAGAATAGCAGAATAGGAAGTGGGAACAGACACCTTTCAATACTGTGATTTATCAACAATTCAGTGTCAGAGTAACCTTGGGACCGGATAACAAGCCTGGCTCACTCCAGTTTAAACCAGTTTCTTCTGGTTCCCAAAGACAAGAAGGTTCAGCATAACCTCATTACAACTTATTCCACCACCTGCTCTCAGCAGAAAGGAAACTCCCTGATCAGCTAAAATGTTCCAGCTAGAGAAAACATCAGCTTTGACTCACACAGAGTTAAACCAACAGAACCTTCTTGAACTAATAGACTAGGAATGATCTCTATACATTAGATCAACAATTTTCTTTTCCTGAAAAATGCAGCCATGACACTTACAGGTCAACACCAACAGTTTGAATTGCGCTTGGAAATGCACTGGGAGCCAGGGAAGATCCTTTAGGACCAGTGATATGTGGTCTAGGCAGCTGCTCCCAGTTACTAGTCCAGCTGTCACATTCTGAATTAGTTGCTGTTTCTGTTTCACCTTCAAAGGTAGCTCCATGTAGAGCCCATTGCAGTAGATCAAGCAGGAGGTAACCAGAGCATTGACCACTCTAGTGAGACAGTCTGCAGGCTGGTAGGGTCTGCCTGCCACCTGTCCCCCAGGGACAGTGCTTCTGTCTTGTCAGGATTCAACCTCAATCTGTTAGCCGCCATTTATCCGCAAACCACCAAGGCCACCAACACAGGCCATTCACTATCTTCACTGGTTCCAATTTAAAATATAGGAAGAGCTGGGTATCACCCACATGCCTCTGAACACCCAGCCAAAAACCCCTGATGATCTCTCCCAGCGGCTTCATATAGATATTAAAAAGCATGGGGAGAGGACAGAGCCCAGGGGTCTGAACACTCATCCCCCAACACCATTTTATGGACATGGCCCAGGAGGAAGGAGGGGAACCACTGCATAGCAGGGTCCCCAGCACCCCAGAGGGTCCAGAAGGATACAATGGTCAAAGGTCTCCAAAGCCGCTAAGAGATCCAGCAGAACCAGGAAACAGCTTTCCCCTCAGACTCTAGCCCAGCAGAGATCATCAAGCAGCACAACCAGGACAGTTTCTGTTGCATGATGAGGCCTGAATCCAAACTGGAAGGATCATGGTGGCAGAAGCTTTCCTGGTCCTGCACCCCCAAAAGCTCCAGGAACAGGACTTTCATTAGCTTTGAAGGGGCCATCCGATACTTGGTGATCTTTTCTTCAAAATATTCTGAATACTTTTTATTTGATGTGAGATATAAGCAGCACTTCTTTTTTACATATTCCACATTGGAGAGATTTTGATACACAGGTCTGAGTTCATCGCTCCCCCTGAAACTGATGTGTTAGCAGTCCTGCCAGCCTGGGCAGTGTGTTTGGGGGTCCTGGGCTGCCTAGACAACAAGACCCCCTTCTCAGCCTGGCTTATATGGTCCCAAGGAAAGCAGAGCAGTACGTTAGGCACCAGCTTGGCTGCAGGAGTTGAATGAAGACGATGTGCAGGACACAATCCAACTGTCTTAGAGAGTTCACTCTGGATTTGTGTAATTTCTCCTCCATAGCCTTTTCTTCTCCTGAAGATAACTCACGAGGAAGCGAAGGAGTGCACCAAAGTATTACGACCAGAGTTTTCCTTCTCAAGGAGCTCCCTTCCCCGGTTGACAAGCCCCATCTGCCCTTCACTTTCCTCTGCAAAATGGGCAGAATCTGCCTTCTTGACTGTGGGATTCACTGTTGTTCTCATCCTCTCCATCCACCAGGGCCTTTCTTCACCTGCATCAGAATTCCCCAACCCACCAAGAATTTGAGACCCATCAGATATCCTCACCTGGTTTAGCCAGCCAGTTGAAGCCGTTCCTGGGATTGTGGCCCCTATTCCATCCTGACAGCTTCTGGAAGAAACAGGTGAGAGCTGAGTGCAAGCTGGGGACCAATGGTGGATAAATTACCCCATAAGGTGCATGACATTTCCCCCGCCAAAGGTACTACCGCTTCCCTAACACCCCATGACATCGTATGATTATGATCTTTAAGACAGAACAGGAATAAATTCATGTCCCCAGAAATAACACAACTTCAGGCCATTAGTGAATCAATACTATATTTCCAAGGTACTACATATTCCACTAAGTACAGTTTATCATTTTCCCTAGAATATCCTGCTTTTCAGTGTCATTTTAGGATAGTCCTGTGTCAAAAGATGGGCACGAGATCAGACAGCACATCGTTCTTCAAAAAATCAAGCTGCTTTATGAACATTGGTTGAGGATTAGGAAAGGTTGCTGGTGCATTACTATCATTTGACATGGCAATTTCATTTCCTGAAAGTTGGGAACATGGGTAGGAGGTGAGGGAATGTAGGAGACGTTGAAATAGGAGAAGGTGCTAATGGAGCTTGATGTGTTCTCTTTCCCTTTGTTCACTTCCTTGAAATCAAAACAGGATTCCCTTTCTTCCCACTCTGAAGAAGGAGATGGAGAAGACAGTCAAAACTCCAGGGGATTGGGTACCTTTCCCCCCCCATTAGGAATAGAAATTAAAATGTGTGAAATGTGGACTATGCATCATTGAATGAGCACACATAGTTCACATCAACGACCTCCAACAGGGGAGAAACCATTTAATGGTATGGAGTGTGGGAAACGTTTCACTGATATTGGAAAACTTAGAACACATCAATGGACTCACACAGGGGAGAAACCATTTAAATGCCTGGAGTGCGGAAAGAGCTTTACTGGTAATGAACACCTCAGAAGACATCAACGGACTCATACAGGGGAGAAACCATTTAAATGCCTGGAGTGTGGAAAGAGCTTCAGTCAGAATGGAAACCTTAAATTACACCAGCGGATTCACACAGAGGAGAAACCATTTAAATGCCTGGAGTGTGGAAAGCGCTTCAGTCAGAATGGACACCTTAGTAGACATCAACGGACTCACACAAGGGAGAAACCATATAAATGTATAGAGAGCGGAAAGAGCTTTACTGATAATGGACACCTTAGAAGTCATCAACGGACTCACACAGGGGAGAAACCATATAAATGTATAGAGAGCGGAAAGAGCTTTAGTGATAATGGAAGCCTTAGAACACATCAACGGACTCACACAGGGGAGAAACCATTTAAATGCCTGGAGTGCGGAAAGAGCTTCAGTCAGAATGGAGACCTTAAATTACACCAGCGGAGTCACACAGGGGAGAAACCATATAAATGTCTGGAGTGCGGAAAGAGCTTTACTGGAAATGGACACCTTAGAAGACATCAACGGGCTCACACAGGGGAGAAACCATATAAATGTATAGAGTGTGGAAAGAGCTTCAGTCATAATGGAAACCTTAGAAGACATCAACGGACTCACACAGGGGAGAAACCATATAAATGTATAGAGTGCAGAAAGAGCTTTAGTGATAATGGAAGCCTTAGAAGACATCAACGGACTCACACAGGGGAGAAACCATTTAAATGCCTGGAGTGCGGAAAGAGCTTCAGTCGGAATGGACAACTTAAATTACACCAGCGGATTCACACAGGGGAGAAACCATATAAATGTATAGAGTGCGGAAAGAGCTTTACTGATAATGGACACCTTAGAAGTCATCAACGGACTCACACAGGGGAGAAACCATATAAATGTATAGAGTGCGGAAAGAGCTTTAGTGATAATGGAACCCTTAGAAGACATCAACGGACTCACACAGGAGAGAAACCATTTAAATGCCTGGAGTGCGGAAAGAACTTTTCTAATAATGAACACCTTAGAAGACATCAACGGACTCACACAGGAGAGAAACCATTTAAATGCCTGGAGTGCGGAAAGAGCTTTTCTGATAATGAACACCTTAGAAAACATCAACGGACTCACACAGGAGAGAAACCCTTTAAATGCCTGGAGTGCGGAAAGAGCTTTTCTGATAATGAACACCTTAGAACACATCAACGGACTCATACAGGGGAGAAACCATATAAATGTATAAAGTGCAGAAAGAGCTTTAGTGATCATGTAAGCCATAGAACACATCAACAGACTCACACAGGGGAGAAACCATATAAATGTATGGAGTGTGAGAAGTGTTTTAGTATTAGTGAAAACCTTAGAAGACATCAACGGACTCACACAGGGGAGAAACCATTTAAATGCCTGGAGTGCGGAAAGAGCTTCAGTCAGAATGGACAACTTAAATTACACCAGCGGATTCACACAGGGGAGAAACCATATAAATGTCTGGAGTGCGGAAAGACCTTTACTGAAAATGGACACCTTAGAAGACATCAACGGGCTCACACAGGGGAGAAACCATATAAATGTATAGAGTGCGGAAAGAGCTTTAGTGATAATGGAAGCCTTAGAAGACATCAACGGACTCACACAGGGGAGAAACCATATAAATGTATAGAGTGCGGAAAGAGCTTTACTGATAATGGACACCTTAGAAGTCATCAACGGACTCACACAGGGGAGAAACCATATAAATGTATAGAGTGCGGAAAGAGCTTTAGTGATAATGGACACCTTAGAAGACATCAACGGACTCACACAGGAGAGAAACCATTTAAATGCCTGGAGTGCGGAAAGAGCTTTTCTGATAATGAACACCTTAGAAGACATCAACGGACTCACACAGGAGAGAAACCATTTAAATGCCTGGAGTGCGGAAAGAGCTTTACTGAAAATGAACACCTTAGAACACATCAATGGACTCATACAGGGGAGAAACCATATAAATGTATAGAGTGCAGAAAGAGCTTTAGTGATAATGTGAGCCTTAGAACACATCAACGGACACACACAGGGGAGAAACCATATAAATGTATAGAGTGCGGAAAGAGCTTTAGTGATAATGGACACCTTAGAAGACATCAACGGACTCACACAGGAGAGAAACCATTTAAATGCCTGGAGTGCGGAAAGAGCTTTTCTGATAATGAACACCTTAGAAGACATCAACGGACTCACACAGGAGAGAAACCATTTAAATGCCTGGAGTGCGGAAAGAGCTTTACTGAAAATGAACACCTTAGAACACATCAATGGACTCATACAGGGGAGAAACCATATACCGTATTTTTTGCACCATAACACTCACTTTTTTCCTCCTAGAAAGTAAGGAGAAATGTCTGTGCGTGTTATGGAGGAAATGCCTACGGGTGGCATGCCTACGGATTTTCCTCCTCTAAAAACTACGTGCGTGTTATGGTCGGGTGCGTGTTATAGAGCGAAAAATACGGTAAATGTATAGAGTGCAGAAAGAGCTTTAGTGATAATGTGAGCCTTAGAACACATCAACGGACACACACAGGGGAGAAACCATATAAATGTATAGAGTGCAGAAAGAGCTTTACTGATAATGGAAACCTTAGAAGACATCAACGGACTCATACAGGGGAGAAACCATTTAAATGTTTGGAGTGCGGAAAGAGCTTTACTGATAATGGAAACCTTAGAAGACATCAATGGACTCACACAGGAGAGAAACCATTTAAATGCCTGGAGTGCGGAAAGAGCTTCAGTCAGAGTGGATACCTTAGAAAACATTGGCAGACACATGACGGAGAAACTGTTTACATGTATGGCGTGTGGTAGGAGCTGCAGTCAGAGTGGAACCCTTGATTTATGTCAAGAAACTCACAGAAAAGACAAACCTTATAAATATCAGGAACGTAGATAGAGGTTCAGTCCTAAAGGAAGTTCTAAATCAACAGACTCACGGACAGGAAGAACTTTAGGAGTTGACACCCTACAAACCATCAACAAACTCAAAGAGGAGAAGGAGCTTAAATGAAAAGATTGCAAAAAGTGCTTTTTTTACAATGGAGTGTTTAAGGAAAATCCAGGGACTCTCACATGGAAGAACCCACTTTGATGTCTGGAGTGCGGGACGCCTTCCTCTCGGAGTCCACTCTTTTCTTCACAGAAATGAACTCAGCAGGAAATCAGTCATTAACACATGTTGTGTATGCGAAGTTCTGGAATTTATGTGTAAAACTGTATAGTAATGAAATATTGAAGGCAATGTCAAACAATGTGATTATAATCTAAGATGTAAAGTGCCTTTTGATAGAGAAGGGGTGAGGGTTTATCTGGATTTCTGGTGGTCAGTGAGGATTAGGGCTGGGCGATATATTTTTCCATATTGGTTTCTAGACCACATCATGATAACCTTTCAAAAACAATTGATATGGCAACACACCACAGATCACAGTGTCTGGGATGCTCATTTGCCTGGAAGCAGCCGGCGGAAAGCTTTGCTTCATGAAGCCCCTGCAGATGCCGAGTTGCTGACTTCCCTCCAAAACCACATGAAGGGAAACACACCTCCATTGCCCTGTGTCCTTCCAGCCTCTTTCCTCCCTTGCTCCCTTCTGCCGGTTTGTGTGCCTGACTTAGATATCCTATGTGGTGTATTTCTTTACGGCTGAAACTGGATTTGCTCTCAGAAGCAAAGTTTTGTGTATCACTGGGGACCCATGGAGAACTGTATGCTTTGAAAGCTCAGTAAACTATTACTGAAGAGGTCCTGCTGCCTCTGTGTGTGTTTTTGACCTCAGTGTGGGAATTGCTTTACACGTGGCCCCTACCCTGCCGATACTTGGCTCATGCCCTGCAGTTGCTGTACTCAAGCATGCAAGACGGGTGCATCTGTGTGTGACTTGCTTTTGCATCAAACTCTCTCACCACCACCACCACCACATGATCTCCGAATACTGCTTCTTCAGTAGAACTTCTCCCTGCCTCCTACGTGTTCTGAAGAAAACTTAAATTACTGTAATTTAATGGGATATTTTCCCCAAACCTTATTGCAAGAGGGGGAAGGGTGGGTTGCAGGTACGAGGGAAGTTTCCTGGGGGGCCCATCTTCACTCATGAACCCCATGGGGCAACCCCAGAGCTCCTGCTTATTCTGGGGTTTGGGGAAGATAGTATTTTCCCATAGTCCCAGAAGTTATCATTCTTCCTGCCAGAGGACCAGTGTGCATATTATTATCATACTTATTTTACTGTTGTTGTTGTTGTTGCTGCTGCTCCTGTCATGGACTGGCTGGGTGAAAGGGGGGAGGCACCAGTTGGCAGACCCCCAAGGGAAGAAGGCTCGGAGTCCGGGTGTTGTATGCCCCCGAAGGCTATCAAATCTCCTAGGTCTGACCAATAAAAGGTTAATTTGGTGGGGGGGGGAATCCAGGTGCGAGGCTGCTCAGCCACCCAGCTCATCGGGCAGAGCCCGTGGGTCCCTGCGGAATAAAGGAAGGAATCCAGCCACCAACCGAAGCAAATAGCTGCGGAAATCATTATATGGTCTCAAGCAGAGTGCCAGGTGTTGGAACACAAAACTCACTGAGACGTTGCTTTCTCTAGGTTTTCACCAGGGCAAAGCTGATCCATGTGTGTTTGTCGAGGAGGAGGGGCAAAACAAACTGTATTCTTTATGTTTTGTTGATGATCTTCTGATGTTTTGGAAGAATCAGGCTTTCTACCAAAGCACCCTAGCTCAGCTGAAGGAGCACTTTGACATGAAGGATCTTGGTGAGGTATCCAACTATCTTTCTCTGCAGGTGGAGAGGGACCAAGCAGGTAATTTTCTGGTACACCAAACACAGAAAATTGCTGATGTGTTAACCAGGTTGAATTTGGTTGATGCAAACCCAGCAGACACACCGATGGTGACAGGTTACCAGGTAGATAGTACTGCTGAAACATTTTCTGACACTACGCTGTACAGATGCATTCTAGGCAAGTTGAATTTTATGGCTAGATGCTCAAGACCTGACATATCTGTAAGCACTAACCTGCCTAGCAGACATGCCAACAATCCTACTGTTCAGGATTGGAAAGCTCTGAAGCGCATAGCCCGCTATTTGAAAGGGACTATGCACTACAGGCTGAGGTTCACCAGTCAGAAGACTGGAGGTCTTGAAATCTTTGCAGATGCTAGTTTTGGAAGTGACACCGCGGATGGTACAAGCACTTCTGGAGTATGCTACATGTACAACCACTGTCTGTTTGACTGGCTGTGCAAGAAGCAGACGACAGTAAGCCTAAGTTCCTGTGAAGCAGAACTCAATGCTCTGTCATTTTCACTCATGGATTGTGAATGGTTGATGCAACTGTTTAAGGACATCAGAGTGTCTGTGAAATGTCCTATACAAGTGTATCAAGCCAATAGATCCTGTTTGGCTTTGCTGAACTCAGAGAGTTGCAAGCAAAGAACACGCAATCAGGCAGTCATGTTTTTTCCTTTGTTCTGACCAACGCTGAATAAACTTCTAAATAATGCTCTCCTGCGTGCATCTTTCGCTGTGCGGATTTCTGCTGATAGAGCGTGCATCAGCTCTGGAATGTGGCAAGCTATTTTCTGGAGCTCGTGTCGCTAATTGCTGATACTGTATCTACGGGAGATCCATGGATCGTCCGGAGGCGACGTGGGGGCCATGATGGGCTTTATCTCCCTGGCAGTATCCCAACAGTTACATCTTTAAAGTTTAATATTACAAATATTATGCCTGAATGTATCCTTTCAACTTGACAGCTCAGGGAAGTTACCTAGCTTTAAAAATAGTATAAAATCATCTCCTTTCCCAGTTTCCTCCATTCCAAAGCTATTTTCCCCTTGCAAAAGGACTCCAGGACGTTCCCAGAGGTGACAATTGCTGGGCTCATTGTTAGCCAAAGGAAGCCAAATCTCATCACCTGACTCGCCTCAGGCTCCAGACATGCAAAGGAACTTCTATTGTACTTTTGGGTGGTGTTACTTAAGAAGAAGAAAAAGAAGAAGAGTTTGGACTTGATATCCCGCCTTCACTCCCCTTCAGGAGTCTCCAAGCAGCTAACATTCTCCTTTCCCTCCCCCCCCCCCCACAACAAACACTCTGTGAGGCGAGTGGGGCTGAGAGACTTAAAAGAAGTGTGACTGACTGGCCCAAGGTCACCCAGCAGCTGCATGTGGAGGAGTGGGGAAGTGAACCCGGTTCCCCAGATTACAAGACTATTGCTCTCAACCACTACACCACACTGGCTCTCTATATCGTAGACATATTTGTCTGTGCTAATCTTATACCTGAGTCTTGCCCTGCCATGTCTGCTTATGCTAATCTTGTACCAAGAACTTGTCTGGACATGTTTGCCAAGGTTAACCCCTCCCCTTTTGTGACATGTCAGTGATGTAGCAATGATGCTGTACGAACTGTATTCTGGGATGTGGTGGGAAAGTTTTAAAAGTCTTTGTCACCCCATCCTCGGGGTTCAAATTTGCTCTTTGAACCTATTGCACAATAAACTTTGGTCTACAGCTGTTTGCTCCAGTTGGCTGGACTCCTTCCTTTATTCCGCAGGGACCCGCGGGCTCTGCCCGACCAGCTGGGGGACTGAGCAGCCTCACACCTAGATGTTTTCCCTAACAGTTAGGTCCAGGTCCCACGAGCCCTGGGGGGGGGGCTGTTCGCAGGGAGTTCTCAGTCATTTGGGGTTCATCGCTCCACCGTGTTTGCGTTTGAATTTGCCAAAATTGTTCACCATGCCTTGTAAAGGAGCCCATTCCTCCTGTGAGTGTGACCCGCCCCCCCCCCCATTATGAGCTCCTGCTTAAGTTGTTACACAGGGGGGACTCCCTGCCCTTCCAACATGTTGCAGGAGCCTTCAAGGAAAACACAAAGTGAGAAATCTCCTGTTTCCTCACAGCCTCAGTCCCCCTTGACCAAGATAGAGACAATAAAATACATAGACATACACAGAGCTGGGAGCCTCTTGTTGCATGGGGGTGGGGTCCCCACACTCACTCTCCCACGCACAGAGACACAGACTCACACACAC